GAAACGGTCTGTACCCACGGGAATGGCTAGCAGCTCGGGTCATGGCCCAGCCCTTTCCTGGGGCACAGGCCACACCTGGGAGCAGAGCCAGCCTTCTGGGCCCTCCCCTAGACCTGAGGCAACAGCCCTGTGATGCAGATAGGGGCAAGAACTTGTGGCCCCACTTTCCAAGACAGGAAGCTGAAGCTTGAAGAGACATGTAACTTGCCTGAGGGTGGAGTGGGATCAGGACTCCCATGGGCTCTCCCACACAGGCCACAGAGGCAAAGCCAGTGGCATTAGGGTCCCATTTTGGACACAGGCATGTGTAGATGCAAAACTGTTTACAGTGAAAGGAGCGCTCTGGGGGCAGCCTCTGCAATGCTTTTGGGATCCCTTGTCCAGTTGTGGGACAGCTTTCAGCCTGGCCCCCACCCTTGACCGCATGTGTTATCTGATGCCAGTCATGGAGGAGGAGATTTGGGCTGCCTTTTTACGGCACACACATACATCTATGTGTGGATGAGTACCTGGATGAGAGCATCCCCGAGTGGGTGCCGGAAGCCCGCAAGGTGGTCCAGGAAGAGAGGCTGCCCTCCACCCTGCCCTCAACCTCACCCTTGCCCCCTCAGATCCTCCGGAACAATGTGATGGTACGTGTAGGGGGCGGCTGGGACACGCTGGGCCATTATCTGGACAAACATGACCCCTGCCGCTGCACATCCCTCTGTGAGTCCCCTGAGGGTCCTCTCCCTGCGGGGTTGGTTGAAAAGGCGTAACTCTGGGTTGGGAGGCTGGAGGCAGAGGTGGGAGGTATGTCTGATCTCCAGGGGGAAGAGGTATGTGGGGAGGCTGGAGGAAGGCAGGCAGTAGTTGGGCACAGTACAGTACTAAATGTCACCACAAGATGGTGTGCAACACACGCAGAAGCAGCATTTGGCCAGGGTACATTTTGGCAGAGCTTAGGTCTGGCTCTGGGATCCACAGTGTTGGTACCAAGTGTGACTTGGAAGGTCTTTAGTTCTTCCATAATCTCCATCAATGCCTCCAGCCACTCCAAATAAGCACATGCTCTAAGGGAAAGTTGTGTACCTGCACTACAAACATAGCTTTAAACAAATCCCCCAGCTGGGTCCCCAAGCCCCTCCTGTAAAGAAACTCTGGTGTTGCCACTGTAGGTCCCACTGTTTTTAGTGTGGGGTGTGGGGCATGGGACCACTGGGGGAGGAACAATGGGCCCCATCAGCAGGAATTGAACTCTTCTCTCCTCTCCTTTCTCCGGGGCACTGTTGGTAGCACACAAGCCAGGCAACTTCCTGAAGCCCCCGGCCCCACCAGTGCAGCATGAAGTAAGGGTACAGGATGGACCCTCACAGACCCAGCCTACGATGACCATCAGCCGCTCACAGAGCCCGCCACCCCCCGTGGACTGGAAGACATATGCCTCTTCAGGCCGAAGGCTGAGGTCCCCCACCCCATCCTCCCCCAGACCCCGCAGGGAACGGGGAGCAGGGACGGGGGCATCCAGAGAGATGGCACCATTCCTGAGGTATGGGGAAGAGATAGGGAAGGGGCTCTTTTTCCTTTGGAGTGCACATTCTCAGAGGCCACCACACTCCAAGATAAGAGGAGCAGATCCCCAGCAGTGACTCTATCCCGAGACCACAGGTGTTTGGAACCAGAAGCACACCCAGTACCTTTGGGATAATGTGGTTACTTCATATGCCTTCCCATTTCACAGATGAGGCTCAGAAATGGAACAGACTTACTCAAGGTTTCCTACCATTTCACGGTAGAGCACAGACTAAGACAACCTATGCACTCCCCTCTGTCTCTCCACTGCCCTGCAACTGGTCTGGGGCCATCCCTCGAAGGATCTGAAGTCACCTCAGGCCAGGATCAGGCTTCCTTCTATCTGCTACACAGGGAACAAGGGCACATAGACTTAGGCAGTGACTGTCATAAGGAGGATTTCAAGGCAGTCAGGGAGGAGAGGGAGCATAGGTTTCATTCAGCGTGAAGTCGAGCCCCCTGGGTGTTCTCACTGGGGAAAGACCGTCACTTCCCCGAGCCAGGGACCACACTAGATGACCCTGCCGGCCTGAGGAGTCTCCCTTTGCAGCCTTGTGATTCTCCCTTTCAGGTGCCAGGAGAGGTCTCTCACCCCATCTTGGAGGCAGCCGACAGCTGGGGACAGCCCACCCAGCCCCCAGTCCTCGTCTTCCCAAAAGGGCCGAGACCCACAGTGCACCTTGTCAGGAAAGAGGGTGGATAGATACCCCCCTGGACTCCCCAGGGGAAGGATTCCCACATCTTGGGTTCATGAGAAAACAGACAGCCAGGGAACTGATGCCCGGAACCCCACCCCACAAAGACTCCGAGACATTGAGGCCACCACCAAAGGGATATCAGCAAGAGGACTATCTCCCCTGCCTCGTTCCTGTAGCCCAGCCGAGCAACTGGGCCTCAGGCTGCCACTCCAGGATAAGGCCAAGGGTGCGTTCTTCCAGTTCAGGGAGCCAGAGTCTGTCTGTTCTCCAACCCCTGTCCAAGACCTAACCAAGATCCCCATCCGGCTGCCCTCTCCTCACCCCCCGACACCAGGAAGGAGCTTTCCTGGTGCTACAAGTAGAAGTCCCGGGACAGAACTTGGGAGAGACCCCATTCCACTAAGGGCCGTCACTGCGGACCTGGCTGGGTCCACGCATGGGGACTGCTCTGTGAAAGTGAGGCAGGAGGACCAGCAGTTGGACATCCAGCTCATGGCAGAGGCCAAAGTGTCCCGGGACCTGGGCCCACAGGAGCAGGAGGGGCAGTACACACCTCTGCCCCTGGGCAGGAACAAGGAGCAAGCCATCTACTGTAGCCTTGAAGAGGAGATTTTGGGCAACATGAAGCTGCTAGAAGTCGGGAGTGCCTGTCTGCAGGGCACAAGGTCTGGGGTCATACTTCGCAGTGGGGTCTATGTCCCCAGCCTGGGTGGGCGGTGGCCTGAGCCTGGGGGTCCTTATGACAAAGTCATCCAAGAACTGGCTCAGGGCCCCCCACCCCTCCTTAAAGTGGACCTGGAAGCCTGGAAGGCAGCCCCGACTGGCTCCCCTAAGCCAGCTGTTACCCCAGGACCGGGAAGCCTCAAAGGGAAGTTGGGAGCCATACAGAGTGGGCCCAGCACAAAGGCAAGCCTGAGTGCCAAGGGCACCCACATGAGGAAGGTCCCACCTCAGGGAGGGCAGGACTGCTCGGCCCCTACTGCGTCTGCCAGCCCGGAGGCCCCCACACCTTTGCCCTTGGACCCCAACTCTGACAAAGTCAAGGCATGTCTAAGTGAGGGCAGGAGAACTCTCCGGAAGCCCAAGAAGGTCCCGTCCATCTACAAGCTGAAGCTGAGACCCAGGATCCGGCCCCGAAGAGACCACAGGCCTGAGAAGCAGCCTTCACGAATCCCCAAGCCACTGGCCTATGTCTGCCTGGGTCCAGCCAGGCCGCCCCGCAGGGACAGACTGTTGAGAGCTGTGCTGGGCAGCAAGGGAGGGGAGGCATCCCGGGTGGACGGAGCTTCAGTAGGTGAGGAGGAGGAGGAAGGAAAGGAGAAAGAGCCAGCCGCTCCATTGGAGAGCAGGCCCCAGACTCCAGAGGACCTGCGACCTCACTGGCTTGATCAAGCTCCACTTCCACCTGAGGAGGAGTCCTGGGTCTGAGGCACATGAACGTGTCAGGGAGGAGGGAAGCAAAAAGAATGGCCATGTATACACTGGATTCACAGCTGCGGGAACAGAAGGGACGTTCCTTCATCTCCACACAGGGCCTTGGGCAGGAGTGGGTCAGAAGACAAATATAGACTCCATCTGCTCATCTGAGCAAAGGGGCAACCCACTGCTCTCACTCCAACTCCAGAGGTAGGCCGGGGCAGTGAGACCATCCTATATCTCATGACTCTCCCTCAGAACATCTCCCCACACTCCTGGCCTCTGGCCCCTGGCCATGCCCACCTGTTTCCATAACTCCCCTAAGTTATTAAACGCATGTGATTCTACCTTGAGCCCCAGCTTCTTTTTTTTTAAAGTTTAGAAACAGAGTCTTGCTCTGTCACCCAGGCTGGAGTGCAGTGGCACTATCATGGTTCACTGCAGCCTCGAACTCCCAGGCTTCAAGTGATCCTCTCACCTCAGTTTCCCAAGTAGCTGGGACTACAGGTAGGTGCCATGACACCTGGCTAATTTTATTTTATTTTATTTTTTAGAGATGGGGCCTTACTATGTTGTCCAGGCTGACCTCAAGCGATCTTCCTGCCTTGGCTTCCCAAAGCACTGGGATTAAAGATGTGAACAACTGAGCCCACCTCCCCCTTCCCCCTAGCTTCTTGAGCCCCTCTAGGACTGTGGTGGTGTGGGGAGGTATAGCTTCAGATGTTATCCCACTGCAGGAGATGGGGACTAGGAGGAAGGAGTTGGTGGTGAGAGAGGCTTCCTCTTTTGAGGCTCAGCCAATCTTTACAGGCAGCCCCATCTTTCCTGGAAGTGGCTGGTGGGTCAGCACCACGGACAGAGACATCCTGCCCTCAACACACACGCTTCTGGAAGGCACCCTTGCCCAAGACTTCAAAGCTTTGCTCTGGAGTTTGGGTCCTGAGATCACTCAGGGACAAGACGGGTGGCTGAAAGTGTTCCTAACACATCTACATCCAAGAAGTTATGACTGAGAGGCTGCAAAGTCTCAGCCTTGAGTGGGAAGGACGAGACGCAGACGGAGAAGCTGGGATTCAGTCCCATTATGGAAATTTTCCAGACTGGCAGGGGAGAAGTTCTGCTTCCCTTCTGAATGGTTTGAATTAGTTGGAGGGTTTGGGGTTAGGTGGAAAGGTGATACGTCCCAAACTCTTCACCGGTGGTCTCCCTGTTGACCTGGGCTTTGGGACTGGGGGCCACCTCACCACCTTCACCCTCCTTCCACACGGAGCTCAGCAGGCAAGCCCTGTGGGGATCCCTCCCCTCCTACCATGAGGAACGGAGCCAACACCTTGGTACAGAAACAGGGGAAAACACTCCCTGATTTTTAATCTGACTTCGGATAACAGCTCAATGGGCGTCACACACACTTCCAGACCCTGTGGTGGGAAACCCTGGGAGGGGGTGGGAAGGGAAGGACAGAGACTCAGAATGGGGGTGGAGGGACCTGAAATCCAAGACCTGGGTTGAAGTGGAGGCGGGAGGGGGCCTGTCAGAGGATACATTCCAATGGCTCCCACAGGGGAGCAGCCAGAGGCCTGGGCCCCCTCCCCCCACCTCAGGTGCCTCAGAGTTGGGGGTGATGGGGCATGTGAGATGCTGCCATCCCTCATCCCCTCCCTCTGGTGAACCAGGAGACAGGGGTGCAGGAGACTAAGGGGCAGGCCCTCTTTGTTACCCTCCCAGCCACTCTAAGGTGTGGGGAAGGGGAGCCACCTCCTCTGTGTCAGAGGGAGGCTCACAGAGGGCAGGTCACTTGCCCGAAGTCCTGCAGCACAGCAGGGACTAGAACGCAGGAACACTAGACTGCCCAAGGTCAAGGCGGTTGCTGTGGGGCTGTGCTACCCCCACTTGGTGGACAGAGTGGGAATCAGCCGGGGAAGCAGAATCATAGATTCCCCCTACAATGGATGTTGGTGATAAATTCCCCACCCACGACCCTTCCCCCAGACTCCGCTCCATCACCACTCTGGGCTACCTGATTTCCTAGTCTATATGCTGCAGCCTTGGCTAAGTTGGCCAAAGTGGAGTTGTCCTCTCTGCCCGTCTTATAACAAGGGACCCTGCTGTCCTCCCACCAGGCCAGGGCTGAGGGCTCAGCCTCAAGGACAGCTTTCTTTGGTCAGGGGGCAGGGGACAGGGCACCACTTCTCCCTCCCTCCAATTCCCGCATCAATCCCTTATGCCATTCCTAGAATCTTCACTATTATTGTTATTTCTAAATCGGTACAAAACTGACAGTGATCAGCTCCGGTGACGAGAGGTAGAAACCCGGCCAGGCAGCCGGAGAAAATGGGGCGGAGTGAGTTAGGGCATAGGGCTGACTGGTGTTGGGACAAGAGGGTGTCAGATCCTGAGGGCCTCCATCTGGGGCCGGCGGGGGGAAGATGCAGGTGTGTCTCCCCCAAGCACAGGGGTCCCCACCATTCTTTCCCTGGCTCTGTTCTTCCCCAGATTAATCAGGATAGTCTGAGATCTGAGGCAGGCAGAGTCTGGGGTAGTCAGATGGGGTTGAGACGGGGCAACAGAATCTTCACTGGGACAACCTGACCCCCTTCTGGGCACCATCCTGCCCACGACCAGACCCCAGAACCTAACATTCCCCAGTCTGACAGACCAGATTGCAGTATGCAGGAGGTAATAGAAGACTGGAACCTGGCATCATGGAAAAGAAACTATCCTTTGGGGGATTCCCTTTCCACACTCTGTCCAAAAAAAAAAAAAAAAAGTTTTAACCCAGGGGGTGATCTGGCTTTGGGGTCAGGAAGAGTGAGGGGCACCTGGCAGGGACGGACCATCGAGTTAAGGCTGGAAGGTAGGTTGTTGTGTCTCTGGGGGCTGCTGGGCGGGGAGGTCTCCCTGGAAGCCGGAGAGCTCAACCTTCTCCCCTCACTGATCTGGGACCTCAGCCCCCGGACCCCTTGATGGTGGTCTTTGGGCCACCCGCATCTCTGCCCTGTGCCGGTGGTGCTGACAGTCAGAAGGCCTGGCCTCACAAAGAAGCTGCCAGGATCTGCGACAAGGGGATGGACGAAATGAGAGCCCTGTGAGCGGAGCTAGGGGGGACTGGAGGGTGGGTGAGACAGGTAAGGACCAACAGACGCTTGGGTGGGCGGACATGGGAAAGGAAGACACCCGGCAAAGACAGACACATTCTGGAAAAGACAGGTGGGGGCCCGGCCAAGGCGGCACCTCACCACCCCCACCCTCCATTGCACGCTCACCCCCATCCCAAAAGGCTGTGGCACCCCCGCGGGTCGGGCCGGGCACTGCACTAAATACAGCACTGAAGACGGCTGTCCCAGGAAGCCACGGGGGCAAGGGGCAGGGCTTAGCAGTTACTGGGGGCTCCCTCTCGCGCTTTGCTTCTCACCGGGAGATGCGTGGCTGCAGGGGCCTCAGGCCGGGACCGTCACAGTTCCATTTCCCGCCCGCTCCCCGCCCCAGCCCCGCAGTACAGCCCCACCCTCCGCCCGGCCAGTGCCGGTGCAGCCCGCGGGGCGCGCAGGTGTCACATGATGGCGCAGCGGTTTCGGCGCAGCGCGCCCTGGAAGCGCAGGGCAGCGTGCACGTGCTTGCACCGGGCGCAGCCGACGCTCTTGAGCAGCTCGCTAAAGAGCAGCAGGATGTGCCAGTTGTACTTGGCCGAGCATTCCACGTAGCCGCACTTCCACGTCTTGCGCACCAGGTGCGACACGTTCCAGCGCGGGATCACGCGTCCACGCTGCAGGTCCCGCTTGTTGCCCACGATGATGATGGGCGTCTCTGAGGTGCCGATCACCCTGCGGGGCGAGGCAGGAAGCTCAGAACTCTGTCAGTCTCACAACCGCTGTACTCCCAGCAGGGCAGGCTGTGCCTGGCCAATACTACCACCACCGTATGTTCTGCTCCAGGCGCAGCCCTAAGCCCTGGAGGTGTTATAGTTTCTGATCAGCACAACTGATCTAAAAGATGGGTTCTACTGTTATCCCCATTTTACAGATGAGGACATAGGCTTAAATGTTTACTGGCTTCAAGTCATGCAGCTGAGTGGCCCTGGAAGTCTTGTTCCAGAAGTCCCAGTTCTTAACTACTGCACTACTCTAGCCACCCCCACAGCCAGGGTCCCAACATGAGTTAACAGAAATGGGGACAGCACAATGTATGCATGTTTGAGTGTATGTGTGGGAATCTTAGAACACATATACCTCTGGCTCTGTCCCTATACTGTCCCCTTTTCACAGGGACTGGCTAGCACTGGGTCATCCACAGAAGTGGCAATGGACTGTGTTCCAGCCTCTCACCTCGTCTCCAGGATCTGCTGGCGGATGGTCTTGACGTACTCAAAGCTGTCAAAGCAGCAGATGTCGTAGACCAGGATGTAGGCATGGACGCTCCGGAGTCCCCTGCAGCAGGCGTCTGCCCACTCCTGCAATATCCCCAGCCAGTACCAAGGTCAGAGCAGCCATGAGGGCTCCCCTAGCCCCCAGACATCTCCCATCAGAGGGGCAGTGCTCTCACCTGCCACTGCACCTGAAGCCTTCCATACCTGCTCATCCCCAGGAGACCAGGCCCAGGGAGAATGGAGGAGCTGTAGCCTCCCCATTCCCAAGCCAGGATGGAGCAGGTCACATTGTTTGACCTTTGTGCACATCTGGAACTTAGTTCTGCCCTGCTCCATTTTGTCCCCTCATCCATCCATCGAGGCCTTTTTTCAACAAGTACATTTATTAAGTACCTCTTAAGAGTCCAGCTCTGAGCTGGGTGTTGGAGCTGTTAAAATTCTATCTTCCAGGGCTCAGCTGAAGTGCCACTGCCTCCAGGAAGCTTCCTGATTTCCCATCCTTCCTGCAAGCAGGGGACTACTCCCTTCATCTCCTGTGTTCTAACAATCCTTCGATTACACTTTCATTAGAGCTGTTCCATCTTCAGTTCCCCACTTCTGCTGTGAGCTCCTGAGAGGGCCACAGCCAGGCTGTCCTCATTTTTATATACTCCCTCTTCCTCTCTGAGTGTCAAAGCAGGTGCTCCTTAATGCCACTACCTGGGCTGGTGAGCTCTCCGTAGCCCCATCTGGGATCAATGCAACTCCTGCCTCTTCTACTGCCCTTAGACTGCTACCTGATGTGTCCCTTCTGTATGCTCATCTCTGCCCTCAGGCTTGAGAAACAGAAAAAGATTCGGACTGGATGCATAATGGGCTGACGTAGAGCAGGGCCCCAGGGAAGCTCCAGGGAGATGAACTTCCTGAATGTTTGTGCAGCTTCTCAAGGGATTGCGGGGTACAGCTCAAGATGAAGAGACTCCTAGAAAGGCCAAGTACACTAAAGAGAAGTTTCCTTAAGAGATTCATTAGTCAGCGTGCCAGTAGTTACAACTGCAAGAGTGGTTTCAGGCAGCCAGTGTGTGGAAAGAAGTGGGTCCCTAAAGTTGGGGGACAGAGGCCTCCAAGGACAAAGGAAACCAGTCTTCTCCCACCAAAGCTTAGGCAAAAGACTAGAAGAAGGTGGAGGTATGTCTCCTGTCCCAGCATCTGAGTCAAGTGGGGCAGGGGCCAGGCACAAAGGAGGACTACAGTTCTCCATTTCCAAGAAGGATCAAAAGGAAATGACTTTGGTGGCAGTAGCACAGAGTTAAGTCCAACTTCAGAACAGCACTTCCCAACTCAAAGGCTTAGAAGATGCTGCAGTGGATTTCCCTAGGGAGATGATGTGGCATCTTTTCTTTGTGCTGAGGTTTAAATTTTTGGTGCAGCAGGAGGATGCTTAGGACAAACCTAAAACCATAGGAAACTGAACTGGTTTCTTAGGCCAGGGAAGACTGCATTCTGCTAGACACAGTGATCTCCAGGAGCCTGGAACCTGTGCATAGAGATGCTCCTCTGATCTCCCAAGACGAGTGGAGATCAATGAGAAGTGGGAGGGATGAGAGGCTCCCAGTCTCTTCAATCTCTCTGCTGGGGAGAGGGAGCAGCTGCCAGCTTTTGAGGGTGACAGGCCCACCTCTCCCCCAACATGTTGCCTCCTTGAGGGGACCTCCTGGCTTCCTCCCACCCACTCCTCTCTGCGGGTTCCTAAAAGAGAGAGGAGGAAGGCCCCTGATTGGTTAGCTTGTCCCTTCCCCCATGATTGAAGGGAGGAAGCAGGTTTCCAAACTGTAAAAGGTCATCTTGGGGCTGTGTCAAAACAGAGAAGGAGCAATGGAAAGGGAGTCCAGTTTCAGGGACATGCAGTCTGAGAGAGGCTCAGTCACCTGCGTCTCAACCATGCATTTGCTGATAATTCCTTTGGTGGTTTGCAAGCACCTGATAATCTCAGCTTCCTTCTCTGATAGAAGGGGCTGCAGAAGACACTGAGGCTCACATCCAGGAAACACTACTCTCCTGGGCTCTATCTCATCCGGCATTGGAGAAGAATGTATTACTTTATTTTCAGATGGTGGCCATCAGGAGTCTTAGGTTTTATACTTAATCTTTGGCACCTCGAGGATCCCTTTTTCACAGCATTTCTCTGCCGAAAGTCCCTTACTGGGCTCCTTGAGTGAAATCTTGGATATTCTAGAGTCCAAAACTCAGAGTCAGTCAAGAAGAAAAAAGCCAACAACCCAATAGAAAAATGGGCAAAGGACATCAATAGTTCTTGAAAAAAGAAACACAAAGGCCCTTAAACCTATGAAAAGATGCTCAATTTCACTCATGATCAGAGATGCAAATGGAGACTACAAGGAGAATATCACATCTCATCTCTCAGATTGTCAAATATACTGTCAAAAGTCTGACAATATACTCTGATGGCAAGACTGCAGGAAAACGGGCTCTCATACACATTGCTCACAGGAGCACAGCATACACCACTGCTATAGAGGGCAATCTGGAAATAACCTCCCCTCAAAACTCCAGTTACAGTCACACTTTTTTTTTTTTTTTTTTTTTTTTTTTTTTTGAGATAGGGCCTCACTCTGTTGCCCAAGTTGGAGTGCAGTGGCACTATCTCAGCTCTCTGCAGCCTCAACCTCCCAGGCTCAGGCGATTCTCCCACCTCAGCCTCCCAAGCAGCTGGGACCACAGGCATGGACCACCATGCCCGACTAATTTTTTGTATTTTTGGTAGAGATGGGGTTTTGCCATGTTGCCCAGGCTGGTCTTGAACTCCTGAGCTCAAGTGATCTGCCCGCCTCAGCCTCCCAAAGTGCTGGGATTATAGGCTTGAGTCACCTCACCTGGCTCTGTATTCACCATACCATTTCCAGGCATTGTGATCCAGCAATGCCATTTCCAGCAATGCCATTTCCAGCGATGCCATTTCTGGGAATTAATCCCACAGATATACCTACTTACGTTCAAAATGACTTATCTACAAGGCTATTCATTGTGGCACTGTTTGAAACAGCGCAAGACTGGATATCACCCGCTTGTCCAACAAGAAAGGACTCCATGGTACAGCTCTTCAATGGAGCAGGGTGTGGCCATGAGGAAAGAACAAGGAAGTCCTCTAGATAACAGCCTGGAAAAATCTCCAGGTTATAATAGCAAGTTAAAAAAAATTGAGGTACAGCGCCAAGCATAGTGGCTCACATTTGTAATCCCAGCACTTTGGGAGGCCAAAGCAGGATTGCTTGAGGCCAGGAGTTTGAGACCAGCTTAGGTAACACAGCAAGATCCATCTATACAAAAAATTTTAAAAATAAAGTCAAGGTACAGAACAGTATGGTTCTTGTTTTTGTTTTGTTCTTTTTTTTTTTTTTTTGAGACGGAGTCTCGCTCTGTCGCCCAGGCTGGAGTGCAGTGGCGTGATCTGGCTCACTGTAAGCTCCGTCTCCTGGGTTCACGCCATTCTCCTGCCTCAACCTCCCGAGTAGCTGGGATTACAGGCGCCCGCCACCACACCGGCTAATTTTTTGTATTTTTAGCAGAGAAGGGGTTTCACTGTGTTAGCCAGGATGGTCTCGATCTCCTGACCTCATGATCCCCCCGCCTCGGCCTCCCAAAGTGCTGGGATTACAGGCGTGAGCCACCGCGCCCGGCCTCCATTTTGTTCTTTATGTAAGAAGCAGGGAAGAATGCATTTTCTTACTTGGGTAAAGAAATACTGAACGTATGGATAAAAATCTGTTAAGCGGCCAGGCACGGCGGCTCATGCCTATAATCCCAGCACTTTGGGAGGCCTAGGCAGGCGGATCACTTGAGGTCAGGAGATCGAGACCAGCCTGGCCAACATGATGAAACCCCGTCTCTACTAAAAATACAAAAATTAGCTGGGTGTGGTGGCAGGTGCCTGTAATCCAGCTACTCAGGAGGCTGATGCAGGAGAATCGCTTGAACCCAGGAGGCAAAGATTGCAGTGAGCCGAGATCACGTCACTGCACTCCAGCCTGGGCGACAGCGGGAGACTCCATCTCAAAAATAAATAAATAAATAAATATATTTTTAAAAAGAAAGAAAAATTCGATAAGAATGGTTATAGAGAGTGGGGCAGGAATCAGGGTAAAGGGGGCAAGATGAAATAAAGCTCAGTGTCTAGGCTTGGAGCAAGATTTGAATGTCCAATCAGGTGATTGTTAAAGTCTCCTTTAGAAGAGAACTAGAAGGCCCTGTGCCCAGACCGTTTGCCCTGATAGGCTCAGCCTCACTGCTTCCAGGGCAGAGGTGGGATCAGGCTTCCATCTTGCTGCTGACCCCAGGGGCCTGGGATGGGTGAACGGGTGTCTCCGGCAGATTACGCCAGGGCCCTCCTGCCTGGTGTTGCTGAGAGTGCTGAGTGCTGAGCTGCCCGCCAGCTCCCAGCCCAGGGTCGCAGCCTGAGAGACTGCTTTATTTGCTCCGTTACACCTGGACAAGCCTTGTCTCCTGCCTTCTGGGTCTCCACCACTGTGACTGTCCTTCCTGGAAAAGCTCTGTGCACTCTGGTCAGAGGCTTCCTTCAGTGAGCAAACACGTCTTAGAGCTCAGCTTCCTTTTTCTCTTCACTCCCTCTCGAGTCAGAGGTTGAGAGAGGGCAAGAGGACCTGGTTCCAGCAGGCAGTGGGGAAGGAACACAATAAGTGAGGACCCTGGGGGCATTTAAATCCAAACCTGGCAGGGAGGGTACCTAGCAGGCAGGTCCTGAGGTCAGGGGCAGAGCATCACTTAAGAGAAGAGGGCCTTGGGCAAGAGAGCTGACTGGGGTCTCCAGAGTCTCTGAGAACACACCTTTCCCAGGGCCCTGTCTATTCTGCTGCTGTCCCTTCTCCAGGGGATGTGGAGTGAGGCTATGGTAGGCACAGCCCCGAATACTCACTGCAGCCTAGTGTTCCCTGCCCTTTTCTCTACTGCCTCTTACCTGCCTAAAACCTACTTAGTTGAGACATCACCCTCTGTGACCCCCCAACTCCACCCCAACACATCTGGATGACCTGGATGCCCCCTTAAGGGCTGCTCCAGCTCCCTGCTCCTCCAATCATAGCACTTATCACACCATGTAATAGTTGCCTGTTAGCCTTTTCTCACCAGACTATGAGTTTCTTGAAAGCAAATTCCATAAATTGTTTGCTCACCATTCTGCACCAGTGCCCACTGCAGGGCCTGGCACACATTAAACGGTCATCAAATATTTGTTGAATAAACTAGTACACCAGTGAATGAATTCCTGGAACGACTCTAAGCAGGGTGGCCCAAGGTGCAGTGTGGAGCTCCCAAACTCAGTGACGCGGCCCTGGCAATAGGGCCCGAGCTACAGCAGGTTGGAATCCAGGCTCTCCCCTACCCATCCATTTCCCCACTAACCCATGCCCCCCAGGGTCCTCCTACCTGGAGCGTATTGACAGGGAAGGCGCTGATGGGCGGAAAGTCGAGGATCTGGAGGTCGTGCACGTGGCCGTTCATGACGACAGCAGGCAGGTAGAGGCGGCGGGCGGTGGTGGGCACGCAGACCTCGCTGAACTCGTTGTACAGGAACTGGCGCACGATGGCACTCTTGCCCACACCTCGCGCCCCCAGCACGGCCACCCGGTAGGTGGAGACCATGCCTCCCGCCCCACTCCGCCACCTCGTCCTTGCCGCTGTCTGGGGCTCCCCCGGGCTGCATATTCCAGGGGCTGGGGGCTCAGCCACCGTCAGGACCAACCATTGCTGCCTCTGCTTGCCCTGGGCCCTCTGCGGCCTCCACCTGGACTGTGGGGACAAGAGGTGGGCTTAGTGCACCAGCTTATCCCTGGACATGTCCTGCACTTTTCCACGTTTGGGACTTTGCTCAAGCTGTTACTGCCACTTGGAATGCCTTCCCTTTCCCAAAACCCCGGTGGCCACCTATCCAAAACCTCTCCATCCCTCCTCCATTTTTCCCTGCATTCCAGTAGTAGGACCCAATCTTTCTTGACTTATGACCTGACTTTTCTCCAGGTCCAACTCCAACCAAAACAGGCTGCAGAGCAGAGTGGGAAGGGCACTGGACTTGGTTTGATCCCAGCTTCCCCACAGAGCCTGGGATAAGACGGCAACACCTCTGAGTCTGTGTCCTCCTGAGTGGCTGGGACTGGGCAGGTGTGTCTCAGTGCCGGCACTCCTGACGTTTTGTGGGGAGAGAACTCGATTGTGCAGGACTGCCCACACATCGCAGGACATTTGCTTTCCATGGCTCCCAAGAGGTAGCTGCCAGCAGCAGCCTCCAGACACCACGATGACCAAAAACTCCCCCTCCCCCCATTTCCAAATGCTGCTAGTTGAGAATTCTGCACTAGATGACCACGTTGCCTCTGGGGTGCAACACTGCTGAGCACTTACTCTGCTGGCATGCCCATATGGGTATCCTTGGTCAGTACGACATCTCTGAGGGATAGGTACTGTTATTCCCACTTTAGAGACAAGCTTAGAAGCAGTAAGAAGCGTGTCCAATCACAACCCGAAGGGCAGCTACTCCTTTCTATGATGTCGCAGTACTTCTTCCAACTTTCAAGTTCAGTGATTCTTTTTTTTTTTTTTTTTCCAGACAGAGTCTCACTCTGTCACCCAGGCTGGAGTACAGTGGCATGATCTCGGCTCACTGCAGCCTTCACCTCCCGGGTTCAAGCCATTTTCCTGCCTCAGCCTCCCAAGTAGCTGGGATTACAGGCATCTGCCACCATACCTGGATAATTTTGGTATTTTTAGTAGAGATGGGGTTTCTCCATGTTGGCCTCGAACTCCTGACCTCAGGTGATCTACCTACCTCGGCCTCCCAAAGTGCTGGGATTACAGACACGAGCCACCGCGCCCGGCCAAGTTCAGTGTTTCTAATCGATGAATGCATACAGGCCAAGGTCTGGGTCTCATTCTCTGGCATCCCCTAGAGCCCAGAGGGCCTGGCACATATTAGGTGCCCAGAAAAGGGCTGCTGGAGGTTGGCCTTGATATGAATTCATTAGCTCCTTGCCTGCTCAGTTTCAGTGACTTTAGGGCCTGGGTATAACTCTCAGCTCTGGTGTGTCCTTGCTGCATGGCAGTGGGCAAATCACCTTCTCAACTGGAGCCATGCTTCTGCACATAGGTACAATGAGGTAAACAGCCCCTATTTCTGAGAAAATCCACGTAAATCTCTTAGCCAGGAAAAGGAACCTTTCTTCTTTTGTTGGTGATAGTGACCAAAGAGGCTGTTACATGCCTGAGACCTCCTGTCTGGATTCCCAGGAGGGTGACATCAGCACTTGCTAACTGGGTCCAGGGCAGGTGGATTCGATGGATTCTGGCAAGGCCATGCTTTTCCTCATGGGTGCGTACTTTTCTGTGGATGCATGTCCTTTCCACACATGCACAATCCGTAGCTGAATGTCCCCCAGGTTGTCCTGGTTCAGAGGACTCACTCCACAGGGTATGTGCGCACACAGCATAGAAAATAAAGGTCAGGATGTGGAGTGAGAACAACTAGGGCTTGATTCCTAGCTCTGCCATTCACCTGAAGTGTAACCTTGGGCAAGAAACTTAACAGAGTGTTATGATGTGTGCATGTAAAGCCCAGGGCCTCGGCCAGCATAGGTGTTCAATAAACAGTGATCACTGCTATGGGCAGGGGTCCTTCATTCATCTGAGTTCCCCACAAATTTAGCAATGGCACCTCCTAGCAATCCCAGGAGGGCTTGCTATCTACTGTTGCATGAGCTCACATGCATGCAGTGTGTGTGTGAGAGATTCTTCTCATTTTATTGAAGATTTAAAAAACAAACACACTCCAAAACAAACCGAGTGACTTAGGGAAGTGAAGACCTCATAGCCAGTCAGTTGTTAACTAAGATTAGGACCCTAAACTCCTTCCTGCCCCATGCAGTGTCCCTTCTCCAACAGGTGTTTATACACTTACATGGGCTCCCAACTAGGGGGAAGTACCTATCCCTCCTTCCTATATGTCCCTCCGGGTCCGAAGCCCCTTAGGCATCCCTGGACACCACCAGCATGGCAGAGAGACTCAGCTGGGTTAATTACATAACCAGCACAGGCAGGTGGGGAGTGGGGAGTCCTAGGGGAGGAAGAGAGGGCAAGGAATGCCAAGAGGAGTCCTGGCCTCTCTCTGGGTGTGGCAGCTCAAAGGTTTCCAGGATGCATCCTACCTGCAGACTGTCCCGGACACCACACTCCCTGCCCAGAAACCAGCCCTTTCTGGGGAGTGGCAGGGAAATGCAAGAGGGGCACTGCCCAGGAGCTAGGGAAGGGGCGCAGGAGGCCCCTAGGCTGGGGCCAGCCTCCTGGAACTCACCAGGCCCAAGTGTGGCCCTGTCCCCAACTCAGAAGCGATCGGTGCCCCTTCCTTCTTTCCAGGCAGAGGTCCTGGATCTAAGAGTATATTAATCCAACACCCTTGGCTGGGTGCGGAAGGGAGGGGGCTGTCCCAAGAAGCAGGGCCCAGGCCCCTGAGCGCTTTCTCCCCAAGGCCTGCTCTCTGCAGTGAGTCTGCAGACAGCGCCCGGCAAGAGACCGCCCGGCAAGAGAGGCAAGAGACCAGAGACACACAGAGGGGGCAAAGCCTAGTTCCGTCCCCTTCCCTGCGCCTGGACACCTGGGTCGCTGCCCAAGACTGACAGCGGGGGCTTCGCGGATCCAGAGGGCCGGGTCACAAGTCTGCCAGCTGTTTGTTCCAACCACGTTCGCCTGGGGGTGGGTTAGGGGGCGACAGAGGATGCTGCGCTCCCCATGACCTGATTGGTAGGAGTTTGGGGGGGATGTAGAAGCCCAGCTTGCTCTCCGCCTCCAGCACCTTGCAGGCACCCCCACCCCCGGCTCCAGCTCTCACGTGGCGGCCCCGCACCGCTTCCCCGCCAGCCCGCCGGCCCCCTCCTAGTCCCGGACTCCCTTCGCCCCGGCCGTCTCCTCCTCCCCCGACCCCGGCCCGACCCCCCAGCCCCTGCCCCAGCCCCGCTCCACCCCTGACCGCTTCCCCTCCTCCCGCCGCTTACCCGGGGCCGTCCTAGCTGCCCCCTGCCCTGGCCGGCCGGTCGGCGGGGCTGCGCTCCCCCCGGGCTCTGGCGCTGCCCCCCGGCTCCCCCGCCCGGGGGGAGAGAAGTGGGGGCGCCCCCGCCTGCCCAGTCGGGGCGGGCTCAGGGCGGGCGCGCGGGGGCAGATGCGGGCCGCCGAGGGGGTAGGAACCTCCAGCCCCAGCTCTCCCTCCGGAGCGCGCCGCCCGCTCGCGCTGGAAGGAGGAGGGGGGCGGGGGTGCGGGCTGGCATTCCGCTGGGTCCCTGAGCCTGACATATTCGCTAGGGCGGCCCTGGATGAATTAATCCCTGGTCTCGACCTTCACACCCCTCCAGACTCTCCCTGCGAGAATTTAGCTCTAACCTGGAAGAGATGAAGAAAGGCATGGGAAAGGCCTCAAGGCCTTTGCTTCATTCCGACTCTTGGCCTCATATGCCCCTGGCCCAGGCCTGTAACCAGGCCACGGTGTGCCCTGCACTGTGTGCCCTGCACTGTGTGTTAGAGACATCCAGGCTCTGCTCTTCCACCCTCCTCAAGGGCTGAGCGAAGGGTGATCACTCTCACCCTTCACTGACGCAGTGAAAGGCAGAGCTGGCTGGCACAAAGCAAGGTCTCCCCTGCCAATGGGTGACCTCCATACCCCTAAAACTACCATAGGTCTCTACTCGCCAGAATGGGAGATACCAGCGTTTGTCAGGATTGAGGGCAAAATCACCCAGGTATTTATTCTAACACTCATCAACGTCTAACCTTTGATGATCAATGTCATGTCATAATCAATGTCATCACTGATAGGCAACCTCTATCTTGCCGGTGTGCTACGAGCTTTGCATGCACCCTCAGATCGAATCCTCACGATTCTATGGGGTAGATCGTTTCCCCTACTTCACTGATGAGATAGTTGAGGTTCAGAAGCTTGTCTCACTTAGATGTAAAATGTGAATACAATGATTGAGAGTCACTAGCTGAGCAGTCACTGATGAGTTTGGTATGAGGCTCACAGTCCAATGTGAGACCAAAAGCAGATACACAACATTAAAATGTGCTGTGTGCAAAGTCAAGGTTCTGCGGAGGGCAGGGGAAGTGGGACAACTCATTAGAGGAGTCACTGAAGCTTCGCAGGAGGCAACTTTCAAGGAAGCAACCTTGAAAGAAGTAGATTTTGGGAGCTGGGGGGAGGGAGATTGTAGCAGAAGAAAGCTACAGAAGTTGGCTGGGCGCGGTGGTTCACGCCTGTAATCCCAGCACTTTGGGAAGCTGAGGCAGGCGGATCACGAGGTCAGGAGTTCAAGACCAGCCTGACCAACATGATGAAACCCCCGTCTCTACTAAAAATACAAAAATTAGCCAGGCATGGTGGTGCGCACCTGTAATCCCAGCTACTTGGGAGGCTGAGGCAGGGGAATCACTTGAACCTGGGAGACAGAGGTTGCAGTGAGCCGAGATCAGGCCTCTGCACTCCAGTCTGGGTGACAGTACAAGACCCTGTCTCAAAAAAAAAAAAAGAAGAAGAAAAAGAAAAAAAGAAAGCTACAGAAGTCAAGAGCAATTACATAGGCTTGAGAAGTGAGTCTGGGAACCAGACAGGAGCCCACAAGGCTGGAAGCATGGTGGGTGAAGAGGCCAGAAGTTGGTCACAAAGGCCCTGATTGACAGGATGAGGAGTTCAGATCCAGCCTTGTGCTACACAGGAAGTCATTGATGAGGTTTTTTTGTTTGTTTGTTTGTTTGTTTTTTTGAGACGTCCCACCACACCCAGCTAATTTTTGTATTTTTAGTAGAGATGGGGTTTCACCATCTTGGCCGAGATGGTCTCAATCTCTTGACCTCAGGTGATCTGCCCGCCTCAGCCTCCCAAAGTGCTGGGATTACAGACATGAGCCACTGCACCGGGCCCTATGGAAGAGTTTTAAAGCAGGGAAAGCGCCTGATCAAATTGCATTTTAGAGCCTCCAGGGCAGGAGGAGGAGCAGAAGCACGAGAGATATCCCAACTGTTTTTACCCCTGGGACCCTGCATCTTCCACTCTGACCTCCTATTACCGTGTGCTCCCAAACAGAACTCAGTTTTCCTCCACACTCTGACCTCTGCATTTTGGGCACCCTCCCAATTCCTCCCTTCCTTCTCCTGTTCAGTCACAGAGGAGAATGGGTATGAGCCTGGGCTTCAGTATCAGACAGAGCTGGATTTCAATCTTGGCTCTGCCACTTGCTATTGTAACTGAGGCAAGTAACTTGAAGTCTATAGTCTCATTTATTAAAAGGAGTGTGATTAGTTGTCCCTCACTGTTGTTGACAGGGTGTAGATGAGCTGAGGAGTGTAAAGTCCTTAACACAATGCCTGGCATGTAGGAAGTCTCAGCACGGGGCCTTTATTTTTTGCCTTTTTTAGGGACACGCAGGCATCCTAGGGGAGGATGAGCATCACCGTGGCACAGCGGTTCCATTTATTCTAGGTAGGCTCCCAGAGGGTTGGGGTGGAGGTATGAAAGGACCAGGGCAGCAGCTAGAATCAAGTATAGGGCTGGAATGAATTTGGCTTCCTCCTGGAACACCACTTTTGGGGAGAATAAATCAGATTTTAACTGGCCCTGTGGGATCACATGGGGTCGCTAAGAGCCTCCTGATTGCATCACTTATCCCTCCACTGTATCTGAAAATCTCTAATCCTCACCCTGCTCGAGGATCCCAGGCTTTATGTCTGCTCCCCCAGGCTGTGGCCCTCCATTCCGAAGGTGGACTAGAAGGAATAAATTAAAATACACTGGGCGCAATGGCTCATGTCTATAATCCCAGCACTTTAGGAGGTCAAGGGGGGCAGAATATTCAAGCCAAGGAGTTCAAGACCAGCCTGGGCAACGTGGTGAAACCTCGTCTCTAAAATACATACAAAAACAGCCAGGCGTGGTGGTGTGCACACCTGTAGTCTCAGCTACCTGAGGGGGATCACTTGTGCCTGAGAGGTCAAGGCTGCAGTAAGCAGTGATAGCGCCACTGCACTAGGGAAACACAAAGCCACAGGTTAATTATGGGACCTCATACTGGCCTTCAGTGAAAGGTCATTTAAAGGATTATTTTTATTTAAAAAAGCAAACAGCAATTCCATCTACATAAAGTGGAAGATTTGCCCGAAGTTAGGATACAGATGTCATCTTGGTTTGCTGAGAGTCACTTTGGCCTAAGAACATGCACCCCTAGGGGCCTGTTCACTCTCCCCTATCATTAGGAGCACTTTGATGGGAACATGTGAAAAGACTCTGTACTTGGGTCTGACCTTGAGCCTCAGGTGGGTCTGGCTCAGCTGAGGATGCCTGTTGGCTGAGGTGCAAACTCAGGGAGCAGACACATGGGACCGCCTGCAGTAGCTGAGGCCCACACACGAAGTGGGATAGAAGTGTCAAAGACCCAAACCTGCCTACCTCTGCCCCTGCTCCATCATAGCTGAGGATCCTACTGAGCTTTTAGAGGCTATTTGGCCAGATCCTGGGGTTTCCGACCATAAGTGAAGAGTAAATGAAACAAGGGAGGGTGAGCCAAAGGCTGGACTTGAGCATCATCCTCTAACATCTAGCCGGTGGGAGAAGTGGGATGAGTGGAGTAATCCCAGCCCCAAAGCATTGAGAAATGATCCCAGAGATGGCAGTCTTGTCTCAAAATGGTACTTTTGGAAACAGCCCTTGCAAGCACTTTTCCAGCTGAGAATCTGGGTCTAACCAACCCCCAAATTAGCCTTCCCTTTGTTGGCAGCATGAAGCACGGCAGGGCAAAAGCTAAATAAGAAACTGAGATGGTAAGTTTGGAGCCAACTCGGAAACTTTTCAAGAAACATCCTTGTTGCTAATAACATGTCTGAGGGCTGGTTGGGATTCTAGGATTAGTGTTCAGGAGATAGAATTGGGTAACAACGGGGGAGGTGTGATCTTTTCCAAGTGCCATACCAGGTATTAAAATAAACAGGCTCTTGCCTCCTGGAGCTGGGGGTGGCAGGGAAAAAGAATCTGGGTCTAAGCAAAACCAGAAAAAGCATTAATGCATGAAGTGGGAGTCGAAAGCCCAAACCTGCGAGTCCTCAGCTGTTTTCTGACCTCAGAAACAATGTACCTGAGATCCCAGTGTTTCCTAGTTGTCACTTTACAGGCAGAGAAAGACAGTGTAATCTCAGGTGCAAGTCTGGGACCAGTGTGCTCTGAACATACTGGTATCCTGGGGGCTTAGCAAGGTGGGATGTGGCTGAGAGCAGAGGTAGGAGAGAACCTATTACAGAACCTCCAGTGGACGAAGGAGGAAGCTACAGTGTAGTTCTAAGGACGCAGAGAGGGAGTCAGAAGACGTGGCTCTGTCACATCTCATCTGTAAACTGGAGATGAAATTAAATTCATGAGATAGGTAAGGGAATAAGCTGGTATTGTACATATGAAAGTGCTTTAACCATTTTTCAACTGCCACAGAACATGAGTATTACTGTAGAAGAGGAAGTAGGCGAACAGGTGTGAGCCTCTCTCTGGCAGTGATTCTTGACCTTGACTGCAAGTTAGAAAACACCTGGGGAGTTTTAAAACATGCTGATTCCCCCAGGTCCCATTCCAGACTGAACTGAACCACGTCTTTTTCGAAAGCTCTCCAGGTGACATTAATGTCATTCTTAACTGGCGACCCCGATTTGACCCCACTCTCACCAAGCATTTTTCCTATTACAGCCAGGGCCAACTGCAGCCGGGCAACACAGAGACAACCAGAAAGTTCCTAGCTGCCAAAGGCAGTTTGCTCACGGGGTTTGGACATCCAAGTAATAAAGGCAGCTACGGTTGCTGAGCACCCACCAAGTCCCAAATGCTGCAGTGCTTGATCTACATTCACTCTAGTGGTGAGAGAGGTTCAGGGACTTGTCCAGGGGCATCTTGGTGTTCATTCCAGCCTCTTCCCCCAATTCCAGGCAGTGGGAGATCTCAGCAGCTGTCAGCTTATCAGAACCTAGGCTTGGGGGGGGCCTCCTGTCTTGACAACAAATGGGTCACATGCCCCCAGCAACACAAATGCAGGCCTCTAGTCTTGGAACTCCCTGGGAAACTTGTTTTAAAGCAGCATTAATTCCATTTGCTTGGGAATATGCAGGCCCTGAGGCCAGGTCTGAGAGACTTTTGTAAGTTGAGAGATGATTGAGACATCCTGGGTAGTAAACTGATGAAAAGCTCTGCCGCATTCCTCTCGCCCTGGGTCCTGCTGGCTGGATGCCAACTGACAAGTCAGAAAAAGGCCCTGTGGCTCCGGCTACTGCCCCTGGGACCGTCTGCCTGGGGCCCCAGCAGGGGAACTGCCAGGAAAGACAGCAGGGGAACTGAGCACTCCCTGTCTGTAGAGATGCCTGGAGTCGCAGGGTGGTTTGGGGCTTGCTCAAATGGAGCCTCCAGGAGGTATATGATTCTCCCTTAAGTTACTCTTAATTTCATGTGGCTGAATCCCTGGGAGGGCTGGGGCAGTCAGAAAAGTTTTAATAGAGTGGTTATGAATGTTCTGTCCCTCTCTGGCTGGCTGTGTATTCTCCTAGAATGTTAATTCTGGGGGGAAAAAAAAGTACATATCACAAATTTCATTTTGTGTAAATGTGAGTTTATTGACGAAGACACAAGGTCAAGCTTCCCCCAACCCCCACCCTCCCCAAAAACAGGACCCAACAAGAACAGAGGAATGAGAAGCATTCTTAGGGCAACATTTCCCCCACCCCCCTCCCCATTTCTTTCCAGAGTCTCAAGCTTCACAACACAGACACACAGAGCAGGCTTGGGTGAGGACAGACACTCAGGGAACCTCTGACCAGCAAAAGAGTTCTGGGTGTTTGCTTCTCCTGCCCTTTGTATGATGCCAGCTGACATTACAAAGACACACTCAGGCAGAGGAGGGGGGATGCAGGGCAACCTCCACCCCACTCCCCTAATTTGGCCAAGCTTGGAATGAGCTGAGAGGGAAGCTGTGGTGGAGGCACCAGGTTCTGCCCCTCAGGAGAGGTCCTTTTACGGGAAGTAGAATTCCTCCCTAACTCTGCTCAGGGGTGTGACGGGAGGTGGCCTCCCCAAGGAGTGCAGAGTTCAGGGGTTGGCTCAGTCAGGTCAGCTGAGAATAGGAGCTGTTATCCATCACTGGTGGGGAGGCTGACAGAAGCCTTGTTTTGGGGGTTGAGGGACATATTCTGGTAGGAAATTGTGTTGTCTGCTTGCCCCAACACACTTTTCCTTCTGGAATGATAGTTTGTTTTGAGATGAGAACACTATTTGCAGTGTGAACCTTCTTCACTACTTGTATCCACTGACTCCAGGAATGAGTCCCAAGAAGGGAACTTTACCAACCTGCTTTTCCACCCCACACATCACTGACCTACCCACCTCCCACATACAATCCTGTGCTGTTTCCTACTGCCATGTGCTTGAGGGGTGGTGTGCAAGGGATATATTTCCTCCCTCCCTCCCCAAATATTCTTCTCTTGGAGATTCTCAACGTTTAAGAAAGTGCTTTGGGGGACCACTCCCCACAAGCTTTGCAACTGGTACGAATCAGGGTTATTTCAGACATGAAATAGGGATGTGGGGTAGTTTTGCTCTTGTTTTCACGATTCCTCCTCTGAGTCCAGTGAGTTAGGTCTCAGTCCAACATGAGGCCCGTGGAGCCTGAAGTGCCCCAGATTTAAGCAGGGCATCTGAGAAGAACAGTCTTAGTCAAGGACCCTGAATACTGGGTGCCAGGCAATGCAACAAGTGCCCGCAGATCAAACAGTATAACACTGCTAAACAGGTTGGTATTTTGGGCATGAAGCATCCTTTGAAAAATCATATCCAATGCGTTAAGGGGGGTAGGGGGAAGATTTCATATCCCCCAGTCTTTTCAGAGATGACAGGAACTGCCTGAACCTCTGGGATGATCTTAATATGCCCTGCAGCCTAAGCATCATTAAGAAAGAGCAGATCAGAGAGCTGAAGGGATAAAGGGCATCTGCGACATCTCTAAGCTCACTTCATCTCTGCACCTATTCTGCCGGCCTCAAGAAGTGGGGCTCCGGGGGCATATGGGAAATACCGGCTACGCCTTCATTCTGGCATCTGGCTTTACCTTCAAGTAATTCAAAAGATACTCAGCTGCCACCTGATGCCAATAAACGGGGCGTCAAAATCAATATGGAATATGTGAAGAGCCAAAAAGTAGGCACAGAAAAGGCAGGAGAAGGCATTAGGGGAAAACGACAAGAGATAGTCCTGTGGTGCAAACCACACTGACGGGGACTTAGGAGACTCAGTCTCGGCTCTGCTACTACACAGCTGACAGGCCTTGGCAGTGACCTTTGTGCCTTTTATCTTTCTCCTTTGTAGAAAAAGAGGGTTGGTAAGTTATTACTCTGTTTCAACTCTAAAAGTAGGATTTTAGATTTGAACTGGACCTGAGAAATGCAGGAGAGGGGGTGAGGGGACAGCATCTGGGTTGTTGTTCCCCATCTCTACTCAAATTCCTGAATTAGTGGGATTAGCAGGTTTGTTCAGGGGAAAGGAAAGGAGTAAGGTGTAACTTCTCTCAGCTTTGGTGCTGACAGGCTCTATAGTTTTTGCACCCTGAAACATCATTCAAGAAGATCACCGTTCCCAATTGCAGAGCAATCAAATGAGATTATGATATGGAAAGGGGGAAACATGAAGGCTTGGCCAAGGAAAAGGAATCTGGAGGGGAAAAAAAAAAAAAAAAAGCAAACTGAAAATCCACATGACCAGGGATAAGGCTATCACAGATAAGACAACCCCTCAAAAGCTAGGGCAGGTAACTGCATCTCTGCCTCCAGGACTGTGTGGTTAATGACAGTCATTTCAATGCTTTCTACCGGTTGCACTACTCCCTTGGTTTCTCATATGTACAAAAGTATAAAACAATAAAGTGCAGTGTTTCAGTGACACTTTTCCTTGCTTTAATATTTGTTGTCTTTTTCTGCTTTTGAAATGAGCTCTCAATTACAAAATACCAAACTACACTCAAAAGAGGGTGTAGAAAAAGCCAGCCATTGGCACAGCATGGAGAAGCCCACAAGTAAGGACAGATAGCAGCAGCAGGTGGCAAGAGGTGGGAGGTGACTGAAGCAGTGGTTACAAATGTTCACAGGAAGCTAAAACTATCCAACAGGTTGTGCCCTAATGTTAGCACAGGTTAGACTAGTTACTACCTTGCTGGGTGGCCTCAGTGTGTTTGGGTTCAGATTCTACACAGCAATACAATTTCTTCCAGTTAAGAGTTCTTGGCTTGCACTGATCACAGCATGATTGAAGGGTACTGGACCAGTCTTGTTAGTTTTTCAAAATGCTGTCGTAGACCTGATAGATGTACTGAGAGACTTCAGGAGCTCTACACTTCAGTGACAGCTGTTAGGAGAAAAAGGAGATGGAAGATTAGCACAGAGGTTGGCATTAACTCTAAACGTATCCAAGCACTCAGTTCAAGAAAACTTTTGATACAGTGGGAGAGAAACTTCTATCACAGGAGTAGCCAAACAAAGAGATTATGTTAATAAGTACTGTGGGTTTTAGCATTTCAATTTAATCAATATCGAGTTGTGCTGTGCTTCTACCTCCATTCCATGTGGGTCTGTAAGATTAGGAAATAATCCATACTAAAAACACCAAAGCCACTGACTGCAGAGGAACAGCTGCTCTAATGCTTTGCTAAGAGTTACAGAGATTATTATTAAATGAAAAGGGAAGGGCTAAAGCCCTTAACTTGTTGATGGTCATTTCAGCTGCCTGCCTCAGTTTCTCAGTCTGACCAGAGGATGGCTATATCTCAGTCCCAACTTCAGGAGGATGTACAATCAATCAAGTGAAATAAAACCATAAACTAGGTAGGTCCAAGGTATTAGTCCTTTCTGTATTATGAGGAGAGTATACACCCCTAAGAGGGAAGACAAGAACATGAAAAGACACTCACTTAGTGTAACCCAACCTTAATTCATGTCAACAGCTTAATCTTTTATTTTCTGCCTCTTTAGACAGGCAAATCAGACACCTCTGATACCCCTCTACCACCCCCTCTTCTTTTAGTCTAACGAATACCAAATTAAACATCAATATTAAAAAGATCTTAATGGTGAATATTGAGAATTTCACTTTGTGAGTCAGTAAGGGCAAAATTTAAACCCAGATTTAGAATCCTAATTGTATTAGATTAGGCAGAATATTATTAACAATAACATAGGCATGCAAAATGCACTCTAGAACCAGCAAATTTAATAGCTATATATTTTATATTGCTGACATCATTCCTCTTGTTAATTAGGGCGCAGGTCAACAAAAATTGTCTTGAATGATGTAGCACCATGAGATTTTAGACTATTTTACCTCTTTATTCTCTTATTAGAGACTAAGGACAATTTAACATAGTGCAAAAGGTGAGACTATCTTTGAATAAAAGGTCAAGAAGATTTCGGTCAATCACGAATTTCCTAAAAACTAACAACCTAAAAAGTTAAAGTAAAATTTAAAATGCAAAAAAAAACCCCAAACCAAACAAAAGAACATCAGAAGATATTCTATTGATTTACAGCTTTTATATTCAGTCTCCAAGGCATTCCCAAAACTGCTACTTGGTATAAGTCAGGAAGACAATTCTGATAAATGTGAAAAAAAAAAGCAACTAACTTAAGAACTAACTTTCTATATATAGAAAACAGCTCCCTACTTTGGTCCAAGTTGCATCTTTAGGCATTTCCTTGACTTTCAAACTCCCTATTGAAGGAATTCTTTTTTTGAGACAGGGTCTTGCTCTGTCACCCAGGCTTGAATGCAGTGGCATGATCTCAGTACACTGCAACCTCCACCTCCCGGGTTCAAGCGATTCTCCTGCCTGAGCCTCACGAGTAGCTGGGATTACAGACGCATGCCACCACACCTGGCACTTTTTTTTTTTTTTTTTGTATTTTTAGTAGAAACGGGGTTTTGCCATGTTGGCCGGGCTGGTCTCGAACTCTTGACCTCAGGTGATCCACCTGCCTTAGCCTTCCAAAGTGCTGGGACTATAGGCATGAGCCACTGCGCCCGGCCTGAAGCAATTCTTCTACCTTCTTCTCTACAGCCTTCTCTACTGCCAATGTTGTGGAAAATTCTAGTGGGAGAATATGTGGGTTCAGAAATGGAAGAGAAGAGGAATCTAAAAAGAGAAACACACAGCTTAAGAGAGTTAACTCCCAGACTAAAGAGAGGTAGTCCCCAAATACTCCCCCAAAATACTATCTTGTATTTTTCCACATCTTTGTAACAATACTTGAAGTTCCTCCAGCTGGAGGTTCATTTTTATGTTTACGACTAGTAAGGAAATGTTGCCTTCCTCAACAACGGCTCAAACTGCCAAGGCTGGCATTGGTGGGGAGTCATGGACTGACCAGACCCTAGGTCCTGGGCATTACAGCTGGTCTTTGGAGGATGGGGAATAAACTTCTTCTGTCTCTGGACTCTTAATATCCACACCTCCCCACTCTGACCTCCATCCCAGCCTCTGACAAAGTGTCAAGTTTATTAAATATAGCTAGGACTCTGGGTCTCACTTTGTATGGCTCCTAGGGAGAAAGAGGCCTTCCCTGGGGCTTAACTTTCCAACTGCTAATTGCTTATGTGACATATCTTTAACATCAGCCACTCAGGAATCCAGTCCAAACTAGACACACCAAGGGCAGAAGAGTCACCAGTCCTGCTTAATTAAAGTTAAGGGGCTACACATCCACTTTTGGCATATGGTATGAAACATACACTGCTTCACGTGGGACAAGTTATCTTTCAGGTGAGGCTTACTTACTTACAGAGATATAGCCTCACCCTTATAGTAATAGGATAAACCTATCTTGTTAACAAAATACAATAAAAACTGGGGTTTGGGGAGAAGTGTTTTATTAACCCCTCTTAGGAGACTAAGGTACAATCAGTCTGTCATGCATGAGTGCTGGCTCAACCAGATTTCTTTCTTTTTTTTTTTGAGACGGAGTCTCCCTTGTTGCCAAGGCTGGAGTGCAGTGGTGCGATCTCGGCTCACTACAAGCTCTACCTCCCGGGTTCATGCCATTCTCCTGCCTCAGCTTCCCGAGTAGCTGGGACTACAGGTGCCAGCCACCACGCCCAGCTAATTTTTTGTATTTTTAGTACAGATGGGGTTTCACCGTGTTAGCCAGGATGGTCTTGATCTCCTGACCTAGTGACCCGCCCGCTTCGGCCTCCCAAAGTGCTGGGATTACAGGCGTGAGCCACCGCGCCCGGCCTTCTTTCTTTCTTAATACTTAGCTCAGATCAGATTAATAGTGTAATAGGAACTTAGGGTGATGAAGGGAATGGATCAGAATGACTTTAGAGTCTGGGGTGCCACTTAGGGGAACAAATTAGACCTATTTGTCAAGTGCTATGATGGGAGATTTAGATGGTATTATGGGCAGAGAGAACCTAGTCACCAGATAGGATGAAGAATAGGAAAGGGAGCAAGGAAGTATAAACAAATTCACCATTTAAAAATATGGGGTTGGAGGGGGCCGGGTGCAGTGGCTCATGCCTGCAATCCCACCACTTTGGGAGGCCGAGATGGGAGGATTGCTCGAGGCCAGGAGTTTGAGACAGCCTGCACAACATAGCGAGATCCCATCTCTCTCTCTATATATAATATATATACACACACACACATATATATAAAAAATAAAAATATATGGGACAAAGGAAGGTGGGTGTGGCTAAACCATGAGGACAGAATCTATTTTTTTAAACTTTTATTTGCATTTATTCCATGCTGAATTTATTCCCAGGCTATACATTTGTGTTTTCTTCAATTTCTTCTGGGATATCTTTTTCTTCCCTGTAAGCCTCTCTTCTGGTTTAGGAACAATTTACTCTTTTTCAGTAAGGATTATTTCAATATGTGGCAGGGGAGTTTATCGTGGGTTAATGTGACCTGAGCTCTGTAAGTTCAGCAACATATCCTGGGGCTTTGTTCACCTGGACATGCTCAATGACCAGAGAATCTGCATCTAAACCCTTAGGGTCAGTATTACTCTTGGCCTTTTTAAGCGTGTACAGCCCAAATGTAGCACTCTTTTTGGGCTACCTATCATCCTGTGCCCAGCCCCTCTGTTTGGCTTAGGCACACCTACCAACTCCATTATAATAATATGGAATGACACACATTGCTTCTATAAAGTGACATCTTTCAAGTACTTGGTGGCTATTTGGATATGCATACATTTGATGGCCTGGGCACTTCCACGGGTATTCTTAAAGTGAACATGAAGATTTGAATCTCTTGCTTTGTATGATTTTAGAGGTTTTCTAGGCCAACTGAACAGAAATCATCTCAGGCCACTTACAGGAAGAGCTCACTGTATAATTTCTTTTAAAAAATATTTTTTAATAAAAATGGGGTCCCACTATGTTGACCAGGTTGGTCTTGAACTCCTGTCCTCATGTGATCCTCCCATTACAGCCTTCCAAAGTGTTGGCATTACAGGCATGAGCCACCACACCCAGTCACTGTATAATTTCTCACAACTGCATATGACTTTACAATTACCTCAAAACTTTTGTTTAAAGGAGAAAATATTCTTCAAAGGGTGAATGGAGAAACTGTGGTACATGGATATAGTGAACTATTACTTGGCCATAAAAAAGAACAAGCTATGGATAAATGTAACAACTAGGAAGAATGTTATGAGTATTATGTGTGCAAAAAACAATCTTAACAGGTTACATGCTACATGTGTAATTTATACAACATTCTAAAAATGACACAATTCTAGTAATGGAGAAAGGCTGTCAGGGGTTAGGGCTGGGGTGAGAGTCTGACCATAAAGGTATTTTTTGTGTGTGTGGTGACAGAACAAGTCTGTGTCTGGACTCTGGCAGCAGTTATCAAATTGATACACGTAATAAGAGTTCATAGTACCATACACTACCAATTTCCCACCCCCAAAAGTAATGTGAAAACTGGTGAAATGAGAATAATGTCTATAGTTAATTATTATATTGTAATAATATCTATTTCCTAGTTTTGAAAATGTAGTATAGGTGTGTAAGATGTTATTATTAATGGGGAAAACTGGTAAAAGAGATGTAGAAACTCTCCTGTTCCATTTAAAAAATTTGTTAAATCTTTAATTATTTCAAAATTAAACATTTTTTTAAATTTTAACAAACTATCTTTAGGACAGTGATACTAAGAAGCTCTTCTCAAAATCAAGAATATGGTGTTAAGAAGAGTGTCAAGAAACACCTGAATTCTAAACAAAACTCACCTACCAACAAATTACATGATCTTGAACTAGTCACTAATCATTCTTAGCCATGGTTTACTTATCTGCAACCTGGGAGTAATCATGCTTCTTTAACCTAGCTGAGATGGAAGATTATATATAATAAAATAATGGACAGTAAGCAAAAAGAAAAAAAGGAAAAAAAAACCACACACACACACACCCCCCCATATACAAACTTTTGGCAAATTTTTAGAGAGTAAATGGAGTTATTCTCCCCTCAACCCTTTTTTTCTTCCAACTGAGACAAGGTCTCACTATGTTATCCAGGCTGGTCTTGAACTCATGGGCTCAGGTGATCCTCCTGCCTCAGTCTCTCCAGCAGCTGGGATTACAGGCATGTGCTAACTTGGTTTTATAGTAAAACTTGTCCCTCCAGAAACAGCACAGAGGGGTTTTCCTTTCTTGGGAAACTCAAGATAAATGACAGCGTATGTTACTCTTCAAAAAAGATGAGACTGGTGGGGGGTTGGGGAGAGGAGCATACATTTTATGAGGGAAGCCTAAAGTTTTTCAGCTCATAAGTGCTTGGGCAAAAGTCTAACCTGATAGGCCTCAGGAGCAAGCATGCACACATACATACACACACACACACACACAGACAACTCCCACTACTCCGACTTACTTCAAGGAAGGGAACTAGTGGGAAAAACACCAAGAATGTTCAGTTCTGGATGGTACTATTCCCTTGATATATGCTAGTGAAAACAGACTTAGCTGTCAAAATTAAGGAACGGGTCACAGACTTTTCTCAGCTAAATGACTAAAAGGCTCCCTTAAGCTACTGACTATTCAGCTTCCTCAGAATTAAATAGCTCCCTCTAAAACCCTCAAACACAATGGAGGAATAAGATATTTCTCCCATCCCAAGGGTTTTTTCTTTACTTTTCAAAATGCAGATGACAAGCAGCATCCTATTGGGAAATTGCATTTTACAATAGCAAACAAATGCCTAGTGCTTGGGTATCAATCTTTGCTGTTTAACAAAGCAACTGCTTCTGCCTTATTATTGCCACAATTTTTACTTTAGTTCAGTGTGATACTGAAGGAAGTTTCCCAAACTAAAGTCCCCCTATGCGCTTCCAAAGGTGTGTTCCATTTTGCCTTACCTTTAATAACAAGTATTTCAGGTCATACAATGCTGCTGAAAAAAGTTCATGTGTTAATGACTCTGATAGCCTTAGGTCATGAACTCCAACAGCAAGAAAGGTCTTCTTGACATTAGCTATGTAAACAATCCTCTCGGCAGCTTGTTATAGTACCACATGCACAGATACACTAGATTCATATTAACTGATATTGAGGATGAAGATGCCAAGTTTTGTGAGCAGCTCTGTATATACCAGAGGGGAGGGATGGATTTGAGGCACTTGCCAGAGGTACCATCCCTGTTGGATGGGGCAGACACTGCAGAGAGGAGGTCTTCCACTGAGGCAAATGGAAGCTTCTTCACTGACTACTTATTTTGTATATCTCGGGTTTGAAGCACCTCCTCCAGGTCTTTCTAGGGTACTAAGTGAAAATGAAAGGGCTCTCACCTCCCTCATCTAATCCATCTTACCCATTCTGAGAAAGGCCTTACCGTATAATTGGGGTTTCCTGGCTGGATACGTAGCTCAGCCAAAATCCAAATGCCATTAGTGAGCTTCAGGGATTGGTACAGCATGTCCTGCCCTTCCACATTCCTCTTGGCAATAGTATAAACATTGTTGTTTTGCAACTTGCTGGAAACAGTGTCTAGAAATACAGATTCAAAATCCAACACCTTCAGTTAAAATCTCAAACAAATGTATACTCTATTCTCACATCCTTATGAGCCACGTGTGTTCAGTTCCCTGACAAGTACTGTCACAGGGACATGTGTACATTTCAGAAGCCACTCTCCCACACAATAGCAAAAAGTGAAGAACAGGTTCATGAATTGTCTGCCTATCAGATTCCAGGACTGAACACAGAATAAGGTACACCTATGGATTAGTGCGAGTTACCTTTGGAGATTATGAAATTGGTGGGCCTAAGGAGTTGGCAATCTCAAATTAGGTGCTAGACAGGTAAAGGCGGCTCTGAAGAGGACAAAGACAGAAATGAGTGTGTGGGTAAGCCATAGTGACTGTCATGTTGGTATTCGTTTCTGGATGCTGGCTCCAGATCAATGGGGACACACAGACTGATGACCACATCCACAGCGCTACTTCCCAAGTCACCACTACTTCATTGTGAGCCACTCAGGCCTCAACTGCCAGGATCTGGAAGGGCCCAGAGCTGCAGAATTCAACTGCAAATCAAATTTATTAACCTAGATGTTTAAGATTTTTTTTTTTTCCTCAAAGCAGGCAAAAATGATTTCTTAAGCCTTTAGGGAATACTATGCCTTGAAAATAATAACAGAACAAACTGTCTCAACCACAGATTTTGAGAAAGACTGGAGCTGTGCAAAGGTGACTGCTGCTAGATCCTAAGATCCCAGCTGCTGCTGCTGGTCATGACAGAAGTTTTCATAGTCACCAACTCAGGGTAAGAATGGGTTGGTGTTTTGGCTCTTCCTCATGACTATAGCTTCAAAAAGACATAACGTTCCAGAATTAAAGGTTATTTCTCTCTTTATGAGATGTTGCTGTTATCAGAGAAACTTTAAGAATAGAGATGAGAAGCACTGCTTCTTTGTTGACTGTTTATTATATTCATTTCTGAAGACAGCATTCAAATTACTCATGCCTACTTCAAGAACGAAATGCTCCCCACATAAAAATCTGTCATATTCTATTGTGCACTCTGGGAAAAGGTTGCCATGATGGATGGTCTTTCTACCCTTCTAAACAGTAAGCTCTCTGAACAAAGGGATCCTGCAGTTTTTCATCACTGTGTTTCCCACATTATCTGCGATACAACAGGTACCTCTCATCACTATCTGCTCTGATAGGTGTTGGAGATGCCAATATTTACATAATACCATAGACATAGATGTGAACTACTTTTGCAGGTAGCTCTCACCCTGGTGTCTTTCTCCCACATTCAAACCACTGACAGCTCAGGAGAGGAGGCACTAAGACTCCTTTCATGAGATGTTTTTAACACACTTAGTTATTACTTAGCTTTTCCCCTTTTATTTCCAAGGTTTTCATTAACACCAAGCAGAGTAGTCAAGAAATGGCTCTATTTGAGGAGTCAAAAAATGTATCTCAGGGCACTTACATGCAATATTGCTGGAAGAAGAGGCCTTAATATGCCCTTTTAATCACCTAGTGGGGGATGAGGCAGTTCTGGCTGCCATCCTGGTTCCCACAATAAAGGGCTCTTGCAGCTTTGACTGGGTTGCTAGGCAACATCATCAGCTAGGGTTTGGCTAATGCCTTTTGACACGATTGTCTTGAACACAGAGGGGCTTGCTTTAAGTTGTAAAAATCATTCCTAACTTTCCAGGCCTTTGCTCATTTCCCAGGAAACCCAAACACACACAAAGTAGGAGCCTTTGTTGAACAGCCACCTTGCTGCACAGGCACAAATACATTCTAGCGTATATATGTGGCAAGGGCCAGACTCCTACAGAAATAATTATGAAATAATCTCAATTATTTCACCACCTAAGAGATGACAGGCTAAGAAACTCTCTCTCACTCACTCACTCTCACTCTTCTAGAATTAGAAAACATGGCAAACAGCCAGGAAGAATAAACAAGTTGAATTGATGTAACTTTAATACATTTGGAAGCATTCTGGCCAGCAACCTAGCTCTGTTCCTAATGAATGACTGCACTGTGATTTTTATCGGAAGGCTAGAGGGTTCCATAACATTAGTATGTGTGATTTGATTTTTATATATTTTAGGTATTAGGTTTGAGTTTGAAGATTTACAGATTGCAGAATGATCAGATTTTGCTAAATGTATGATTAAGAATGGCAAGGGAAGCCAGATATAAGGAGGCTTCCTGGTCAGACAGGGATATAATTCTTGACAAGATATTACAGTTTTTAATTTTTTATTTATTTTTATTTTTATTTTTATTTTTTTTTGAGACGGAGTCTCGCTCTGTCACCCAGGCTGGAGTGCAGTGGCCGGATCTCAGCTCACTGCAAGCTCCGCCTCCCGGGTTTACGCCACTCTCCGGCCTCAGCCTCCCGAGTAGCTGGGACTACAGGCGCCCGCCACCTCGCCCGGCTAGTTTTTTGTATTTCTTAATAGAGACGGGGTTTCACCGTGTTAGCCAGGATGGTCTCGATCTCCTGACCTCGTGATCCGCCCGTCTCGGCCTCCCAAAGTGCTGGGATTACAGGCTTGAGCCACCGCGCCCGGCCAGTTTTTAATTTTTTAAAACACATTTTGAACTTCTGGGAAACATGACGGAATCTTATAGTTGTGAGACTTTGAGAATGAGCATGTAATGTCATGTTGTTTCAGTGTGTGCTTATGATATCATCTCAGGCATAAGACACTGAGATTTATCCCAAAGCACAGAATAAAAAAAAGATGGTCAAATAGAGTTACACTTCATTCAAGATATGATTTCTTTTCTTTTTCCTTCCTTGCTTTCTCTCTCTCTCGACAGGGAAACTTTCTTTGATGCCCAGACTGGAGTGCAGTGGCATGATCACGGCTCACTGCAGTCTCGACCTCCCAGGCTCACATTATCCTCCTGCCTCAGGCTCCCAAAGTGTGGGATTACAGGTGTGAGCCACTCAGCCCAGCCAAGATAAGATTTCTTTCGGTTCTTTCGTATCCTTCCATAAATTTGGCATTTTGAATCTGGGGTCTGAACTCTTAGAAGGTATGGATGTGGGCCGGGCGCGGTGGCTCAAGCCTGTAATCCCAGCACTTTGGGAGGCCGAGACGGGTGGATCACGAGGTCAGGAGATCGAGACCATCCTGGCTAACACGGTGAAACCCCATCTCTACTAAAAAATACAAAAAACTAGCCGGGCGAGGTGGCGGGCGCCTGTAGTCCCAGCTACTCAGGAGGCTGAGGCAGGAGAATGGCGTAAACCCGGGAGGTGGAGCTTGCAGTGAGCTGAGATCCGGCCACTGCACCCCAGCCTGGGCGACAGAGCAAGACTCCGTCTCAAAAAAAAAAAAAAAAAAAAAAAAAAGAAGGTATGGATGTGATCTTCCTTTATCTTTCTACTTTAGTTAAGGTCACACATCCTCTGACAGCAATAAGGGTGAAGGAGGTACTCAGAGAGTGGGAATGGGGGAATTTACATCTGTGGACCTGCTGTGGTATTTATTAGCAAGTTCAAAACCACTATGATTGCTGAAAAGAATGCTTTTTACCATTTAAGCAACCAAATTATAGTTAGGTGCTAGCTGGAAGAGTGTTTCCATTTTTGAAATATTCCAAAGGATGGGGAAAGCCACAACAAAACAATGAAACAGAATTCACCCTTACCTAGCCCCCAGGCTGGAACAAATATTGGTCTCTCATTACAGTACCTAACTAATGAAAATAGTTACATTAAGTCTCTGAGCTTTTCTTAATATTATAAACACTTAATTTAAAAAACAGGTTTGTAGAACTGTTTGTTACAAAGATTCCTTTCCAGATATGGCTGGAGAGGCAACTACTTCTTGTGCACTTAAGATAGCAGTCCCAGATACCTATTAACCCCAAATGTAGCTGTAATGGTAAGATGTAAAACAGATTCATACAGATCTCCCAACATCCACAGAAATGATCAGTGCTAGAAAGGAGAGAGTTGTCAGCAGCTTTCTGATCTAACATTTTCTAGTACTTAAACAATTAGTGGTATCATAAGCACTCCCATCATATACTTTTCTCTTAAGATCTGATTAATTATTAAGACTTGGGAAGACGGTCCGTTTCTTTATTCTCTAGAAAGACATGAAAGAGCAAAGTAAAGCTCAGTGCTAAGTTGGTAAGTCCTTTAAGCCTGTGACTTCCTGTAGCCCTCAGAGTGTTAGTTCCATCTGTCAAATGTCTATGCTAGCACAGAAAAGCTATTTAAAGTGTTGGTGCTATTGTGATTAGGGCAGATCAGCTGGAAAGGATGGTATTTTTAGCTCTCAGCTAGACCCAGGGTGTTGAATCAGAAGGCACTAAACCCGAAAATGTTCACGTTAATAGAGCCCTCGAGACTGGAAGGAAATCTAAAGGCCAGGGCACTCCAGACCTGGGGGTGGACTCAAAGGAAGAGCTGGAAAGGATTAGTTGCAGGAAGTGGTCTTGCAAGACTAGCTGTGATTTAGTGTGGGAAAATGATTGCACTGGACTCCTGGAGAAAATGAAATGGCTGTTTTCCCGTTTCATGTGCGGCATGGCCACAGAGCAATGTATCACTGGAATCTGATTCACTGGTATTTGGAGCACCTACAGCATGGAGCAACTGGCGTGAGGCCATGACAGAATTGATCAAAACTGAATTTGCTCTGAGAAACAACATCAAAGGGCACAGCCCCACTAGGAGAAATGCCAGACACTTCCTCTTTGATAAGATCACAAAAACATGCTGAGGCGCAATAAGAGTTCAAAACTCCAGTCTAAAAGCAGGAGGATTTTTTCATTCTGTTACTTTGACACACCAAAGTCCTCAGTCACCCAAACTTCTATTTTCTTTTTTGAACAACCATGTCCCTTTCATACTGAACACATCTGAAACCAAACCTGCTTTCCAATCACTCTGGTTTATCTTTGCTCTCTCTCAGAGAGTGTTTTCCAGATCATGTTCAAGGAACACTGGTGGTCCACATGATGTTACTAATAAGCATTTTGTGATTTTAAATTCCAAGGCCAAATAAGTTCAGTTAACACACTGAGTTAAATAGGTTTCTTCAATATAGCACTTCTCAGAACTTTTAGTCTGCTAACGTGCAACGGCAATTTCTAGGTGAAGCCTAGCATATGCTGTATATTTCAACTTTCATTGATAACAAAACCCTTTCTCTTTTCTTTTCTTTTTTTGAGATGGAGTCTCGCTGTGTTGCCCAAGCTGGAGTGCAGTGGCACAATCTCGGCTCACTGCAACCTCCGCCTCCTGGATTCAAGCCAATTCTCCTGCCTCAGCCTCCCAAGTAGCTGGGACTACAGGCGCCCACCACCACACCTGGCTAATTTTTTGTATTTTTAGTAGAGATGGGGTTTCACCGTGTTAGCCAGGATGGTCTCGATCTCCTGAGCTCGTGATCTGCCTGCCTCGGCCTCCCAAAGTGCTGGGATTACAGGTGTGAGCCACCACGCCCAGCCCAAAACCCTTTTCCTTAAGGGAAAAGTGTTCTGAGGAACATACTATTTGAAATGTTGCCATTGAACCAAGTCCCACAAAGGTGAACATAACCAGGGGCCTGGTCTCTTCCTAGCTGGGTACAGAGGCGGCTCCTCTAACAGGATCCACCAGTGAGCCTCAAAGTGAGGGACAGATGACACTGTCATCTTCTTCAAATATGGCACAAAATGAAAAAAATCAATTATTGAATTAACTTGAAACAATTATTATGATGGAAATTACAGAAGACCATGCTTCAGACACCTTTCCAAGAGCTCCACAGACATGAAACAATTATTATCAGAGGCAAACATCTGCCTGAAGTTTCTATATGCAAAGATGCCTGTCTGAATGTCTTTTGAGGGTTCCAGGAGGGCTTCAGTCTCCTGAATGTCTCAGAGAGGGCCTATAGGAGCATCAAGTTTAAAAGGTATCACAGGAAGAAGCTGATCACTACGATGCTGGGTTTCAAAAGGCCTAAAAGATTCATCTGAACACGGAAGATGAATATTACATAGAGCCATAAAAAACTAAAATTAAAAACAAAAAGCTGGGCTGGGTGCAGTGGCTCACGCTTGTAATCCCAGCACTTTGGGAGGCCAAGGAGGGTGGATCACGAGGTCAGGAGATCAAGATCATCCTGGCTAACAGGGTAAAACCCCGTCTCCACTAAAAAAAAAAAAACAAAAAAAAATTGGCTGGGCGTGGTGGCGGGCGCCTGTAGTCCCAGCTACTCCGGAGGCTGAGGCAGGAGAATGGCATGAACCCAGGAGGTGGAGATTGCAGGGAGCCGAGAGCGTGCCACTGCATTCCAGCCTAGGCGACGGAGCGACGCTCCGTCTCGGGGGCGGGTGGAGGTGGGGGAATCTGGAATGAGAAGGCATTATTATTATTATTATTATTATTATTATTATTTGCTTTCTGTACTGCCGTGTTGCCTCCTTCCCCCAGCGCTATGCTCCAGCTGCAATGGGAGGATGGCAGTGTGCTGCAAATCCCTTATGAGAACCACCAATGTATGCAGGAGTAAATGAGGGGTAAATGAGGAAAGAGGAGGTACTGACCAAGCACCAAGGCTCACTTTCATTCAAACTCACAAAGCCTAGTACTAACCTCAAAAGAGAGAGAAAGAAAAAGCTCTAAAGAGAAAGAGAGCAACAGTGAAACAAAGGCAGGACTCTGAATAACTTAGGGCTCCTTTCATTCCTGAGAAATCCTTGAGAGAAACACAGCCCAAGGGACTAATAGCTGCTATTGTTTCTCTTCTTGGGATACCCCTTTCATGTTCCTTTACAGTAATAAAGTTAACTACGAAAGAGTACAGAGCTTTTTAATGGTGATTAAAGAGGTTAGTATCATCATATGAAAGCTGGCACAGGGCAGTGTAGTAAAAGGTTACCAACTAGGCTTTTTTTTTCTTTTAGAGAGACAGGGTCTCACTATATTGTCCAGGCTGGTCTTGAACTGGACTCAAGAGATCCTTCCGTCCTGGCCTCCCAAAGTGCTGGGATTACTGGTATGAAACACCATGCTTGGCCCAACAAGGCTTTCACTAACTATGATACATTATTTAATTATAAACATAGGGTTCTAAGTACAGAATCTCAGAAAGAAAGTTAACCTTCCTCCAATACCAAAAATTGATATAAAAGAAGAAATGGTCCTTTCAATTACTAGGGGAGTGCATGTTTTCAAATGCCACTTCAGTTTTTGATTATTAGGATGTTTAAGTAACAGAACTAACACATCTTTAGTGAAGAACTGGGTAGATGGGTCGATTCTAGCTTGTTTCTTAAATCTGTTAGCTTGTAAGTAATCTAGTACCTACATCAAAACATACCTACATCAAATATACCTTTTTAAACAGAGGTTTCCAAAGTAATGTATCTACCATATACACCCACTAGAAACATAGTAGATACAGGGGAGGATAAAAGGGTAGGCAAAAGAAAGATTAAAATTTCAAATATCTAATTTGATTTACTAAGATGAAAATGAAATTTAGAGTATATTACTCACCAGCATTTAAATGACATTCTTTAATCTGAAATTGAAGTTCATTTTCATTGGGAATATCCTTCCATGTTGCAAGGAAGACCTGGCGCTCTGTATGGGGAAGCAGAGGGGAAGGATGGATGTGCATAATCTGTCAGTATTCTGATTTTTGATGCCTTGCATCATATTTTCCTTTGTCATGCTGGCCCTTGCAATACAGCTAGCAGCAGGCTAGGACTGGAGCCAATGCTGAGTTCTGCAAAAGTGCTATACTTCAGATCAATTAATCCCTCATCAATAACACTAGGATACATTGGAAAAGAGTCTACATCTAGGGTTTCATTTTGGCTCGTTTTCCTATTTTGGTGACTTATGACCTTTCTGAGCCTTAATTTCTTTATCTATAATTACATCTGTCCTGCCTACTCCAAGAGCTATTGTGAGAATCAAATCAATTAAGTGCTAACATAGTTTAATATGCACCAATATAAGCCAGTTTTATTAGATTGTGGTTCATAAATAAGGGAAGAGAGAAATGTCAATAGGCACGTCCGGAGTTCTGATGGTTTATTACAAATTACTGAATTCTTAGCTTGAGGCAGTATGAACTTAGTACAGAGTAAAGTGCTAAATTTACATGTATTATCTCATGAAATAATTATAAAAATTATTTGCACTGCAAATTTGGAAATGGAAGTTCCAAAAAGTTTATCACTTTGACCAGTCACATAGCAAATAAACAGCAGAGCTGAGACTCGAATCCATATTTACCTGGTCCCCAAACCTCTTACTCTGTATCCTGGGGTGACTGGATTATTCAGATATTGGGCACTGTGATTTAGAGACCAATGGCAGAGCAAGAACGATTGTGACACAGAAGAATAAATAATAAACAATTATTAAGAGCTTTAGAATATCCTTACTCCATTTTTTAACCTCAAAATAACTAAAAACTTCTGGGGCTATGCTTTGACTGACATGCAGAGGAAGGGCAAAGGTATATTCAGCAGGATAGGCAGGAACGTACTTACCCATTTTGCCATCTTCTACAAAAAGCACATTGAGTGGGATGAGGCAGCTGAAGTAGAAGACATCGATATTGTTTTTCACAGCCACCTGCCAGGAAAGCAACAAGGTAAAATGAGGACATCGCAGGGAGCCAGGTAGGAGGAAAAGAACAGCGTTGTGTCTAGAAATATGCATCCCTATTTCCTTTCTGTTTCGGTCAGTGCAGGTCTCCCCAAATCAAGACAAACTGGCCCATATAATGCAAAGTACACCCTTATTTACTCCATTGTCATAGAACTGTGACAACCTGCAACTCTACCTCCTTCTAGAAGGCCTGTCTTCAAGGCACAACTTGTATACCAGGAATAATCAAGTCTGTGATTTTTTTTCTCTATGATTAATAGAAGCTGCTACCACTTACTAAGTTACCTATTAATGATATTATTTCTAATTCACATTACAATGATCTCAAACAAAGTAGATATCATTCCCCTCTCATTTCACAGATAACGAAACTGAGGTTTAGAAAGACTAACATCCAGAGTCACGTATGTGGTACACAGAATTAGGATTCAAACAGAAATTTGATGCTAAACCTTGATTTTTATTTCTCCCCACAATAACTAGTGCCATACTACCTCTTATTTTTTAAAATACCAGTTTTAAAGTTGTTTCTTTTGTAAAACCTTATTTCCCAGGTCTTATGGTTGGAAAAAGCTTGTTGGGCTCAACATTGGTAAACCTGATGACTATAAGAACAAAAAACCTCTAAGCAAGCAAATAAATGAATTTTCTTCTCACAATACAAACTTCTTGACTATGATTCTACCATAGCCTACTTAATTCAGAGCATGCTGTTTTTTTTAAAAAGCTACAGGAAGTACTTTTATTCAGGGCAACACTGATTGGTATATACATTCAGGAACAGGCAGATTGCAAAGCAGCAGATTATAAGGCCCTTATACTGTAAGAGGGAGTAGGAGGAGACTTGCTCTAAGTCACCACCTCCTACTGTTTTCTGTCACTAATGACTTTCCTAGCTATGCTCTTAGCGCTGTAGGAAAACATTTATCTGAGCAAGTTCTAGGATCAGTAACTATACCTGTTTCTCTCTCATTTTGCTCTAAAAACAAAGTTAAAAAGTGCTTGTCTAGTACACTATTCTCACTCTCTGCCTTTTATGGCAAATGTCTACACTTCAACAGCATACTGACCTCTTAAAACTGTGGCTATGAGATCCAAATAGCCTCTTTCTCAAGTACTTCCAGTCCTTCTACATTTAGTAGCAACTTACCTTCCTTACTTTAAATGGTGCCTGTATTCCCTTCTCCATAATATGTGTGTTCTCTCTCCCAGAAGTGTCCATCCAACTATTTTCCTTGCTTTTAACCTGTCAACTAACAAGGCTAGGAGTTTGTGACCCATATATAACATGGCCTGATGCCCAAAATGCTGAGACAGGATTCTCAAAAAGCTTGAATCTGGTGAATTTAAGCAGAGTAATGTCAGGAAAGAGGAACTAAAGGTATTCTTTAGGATGTACTAGAGCATGGGTGGGTGTGGTGGTTCAGGCCTGTAATTCCAGCACTTTGGGAGGCTGAGGCAGGCGGACCACTTGAGGTCAGGAGTTCCATATCAGCCTGGCCAACATGGAGAAACCCTGTCTCTACCAAAAATACAAAAATTAGCTGGGCTTGGAGGCGCGCAGTTGTAGTCCCAGCTACTTAGGAGGCCGAGGCAGGAGAATAGCTTGAACTTGGGAGGTAGAGGCTGCAGTGAGCTGAGATAGCGCCACTGCACTCCAGCCTGGGTGACAAAGCAAGACTGTCAAAAAAAAAAAAAAAAAAAAGGAAGGCCGGGTGTGGTGGCTCACGCCTGTTATCCCAGCACTTTGGGAGGCCGAGGCAGGCGGATCACGAGGTCAGGAGGCCGAGACCATCCTGGCCAACATGGTGAAACCCTGTCTCTACTAAAATACAAAAAAGTAGCCAGGTGTGGTACCACGCACCTGTAGTTCCAGCTACACAGGAGGCTGAGGTAGGAGAATTGCTTGAACCCGGGAGGTGAGGCTGCAGTGAGCCGAGATTGTGTCACTGCACTCCAGCCTGGTGACAGAGCAAGACTCTGTCTCAACAAACAACAACAACAACAAGGGATGTACTAGAGCACTACTTTCAAAGATTTATGCCAGCTGTGGGCTTCTGGGAAAGAGGTATTTTCTAACTCATCTGGTACTTGGCAGATAAGAGAGGAGAACTCTTCTTTCAAATAAGGGCACCAAGAAGACCTTGAGACAGCGCTAGGCTCTGTAAAGAACATTTAGAAGTGAAAACTGGGGCCAGGTGTGGTGGCTCATGCCTGTAATCCCAGCACTTTGGGAGGCTGAGGCAGGCAGATCACCTGAGGTTAGGAGTTCGAGACTAGCCTGGCCAATATGGTAAAACCCTGTCCCTACTAAAAATGCAAAAAAAAAAAAAAAAAAAAAAAAAAAAAAAATATATATATATATATATTAGCTGGGCGTGGTGGCGGGTACCTGTAATCCCAGCTACTTGGGAGGCTGAGGCGGGAGAACCACTTGAACCCAGGAGGCAGAGGTTGCAGTGAGCCGAGATTGTGCCACTGCACTCTGGCCTGGGTGACAAGAGTGAAACTGTCTCAAAAAAAAAAAAAAAAAAAGTGAAAACTGGGGTGATGGGGGTAGGCTAATGGTGGGTCATGTAAAGGTCTCATGTGAAATGCAAGTGATTATCTTTGACTATAAAGTAGTATCCCCATTCTCTAGAGGATACTATTACTGGTTCTTAACTGAAGACCTCTATCAGAATCATCTGGAAAGGTTTTTCAAAACAGATGCCAGGCCCTACCCTACATGAAATAATTATAATCTCTGAATCTGGGACCTGGCATAAATATTTGTGAAAAAGTTCCCAGGAAGATCAACTGGATAAGCAATTAATTTAGAACATTGTTATCTAAGAAGTCTGAATGGGTTTGTAAACATCTTGTTCTTCCAAAAGAATCCTTACGCCAACAGGAGCCCTTTAACAATGGAAAGGACACGATAAGGTAAGCGGTGCTAAACTGTTCTGCACTGTAGACCCTTTGGACAAACAGAGGAAAGCCACTGACTCTCTTGCTGAAAAATGTCCACACAACATTTTGCCATAGAATTTCAGGAGTTTCAGGACACCCTGAGGGCCTTCCTGGGACTTCTACTGTAGAACAATTTTCTGAGGAGCTAGGATACCCATACATCAGAAGCAGCAGATACAGAGGTTCAGAGCATGGACTTGGGAGCCAGAACACCTGATTTCAAATTCTGATTCTGACAGTTTCCTGTCTGTAAAATGTAGATCACAAAGTACTGAATTCATGGGGTTGTTATGAGGATAATGAGTTAATATTTGCAAAGCACAGTGAATAGCCTTGACTCATAAGTACTGTAGTAAGTGTCTGTTCAAAAAAGAAAAATTCGGCTGGGTGCAGTGGCTCATGCCTGTAATCCCAGTAGGCGTGAGCCACCATGTGAGCTTTGGGAAGCTGGGGCAGGCGGATTACCTGAGGTCAGGAGTTTGAGGCTGGCCTGGCCAACATGGCAAAATTCCATCTCTACTAAAAATACAAAAATTAGCTAGGCATGGGGGCATGTGCCTGTAGTCCCAGCTACTCAGGAGGATGAAGTGGGAGAATCAGTTGAACCCAGGAGGCAGAGGCTGCAGTGAGCCGAGATTGCGCCACTGCATTCCAGCCTGGGCAACAGAACAAGGCTCCATCTCAAAAAAAAAAAAAAAAAAAATTCACTCTGCTTTCACCATCTCCTGTTTTACCTCTTTTACTCAGAATCCTAATTAAGGATAACCACATTAGACTTATCTGAAATCTTACACATGCTCAGATGTAGTACCACTATTACGTTAAAAAAGATATTAGAAGAGATTTTTAAAAAGGCTTATCGGCAAATTGTTAGCTTAATGGTTCCTTTTGCTACTGCCTTGGTAAATTATCATCTCTTTACAGGATCAACTACACAGGTCATTCATTGGGGGAAGCAGTTCATCTCTTTTACATTAGCTTTTCAAAATCTGTATTTTGCAGCTCTCAAATTTTCCCTCTAGGCTAGAACTGGGTTCATTTCAAGAATATAGGCTTCACCATATCTGACTCCTGCCTACCTCTCCAGCCTATTTCCTTAACTACAAATACATCAAAATTACTTCTTATTCCCCAAATACTGGAAGTCACAGCTTTGTACCTTTTTTATATGTTGTTCTTCCTTTTGTTTTTTTTTGAGACGGAGTCTGGCTCTGTCACCCAAGCTGAAGTACAATGGTGCGATCTTGGGTCACTGCAACCTCTGCCTCCCAGGTTCAAGCGATTCTCCTGCCTCCTGAGTAGCTGGGATTACAGGCGTGTGCCACCACGCCTGGCTAATTTTTGTATTTTTAGTAGAGACGGTGTTTCACCATTTTGGTCAGGCTGGTCTCGAACTCCTGACCCCGTGATCTGCCCACCTCAGCCTCCCAAAGTGCTGGGATTACAGGTGTGAGCCATCACACCCAGCCTATATGTTGTTCTTTCTGCTTAATATTTTCTTCTGCTTAAGCTTAGTACTGTCTGGAAAATACTTATTTAACCTTAAGGTTCAGTTCAAGATTAACACTTCCCAGAAAGCTCTAACCCCTCCCCACAGCACCCAACGCATTCAATTCTATGATAGCATATAATAATGGCTTACTTCCGGCTCACCTATAATACAATGAGCTCCTTGAATGCAGGGTCTGTCTCTCATCTTCGCTAGCATATTGACTACCTCAATAAATATTTGTTGCATGAAAATAAGGGGAAGATGTTCAACAAATAAAAATGAAATACTGTGTTTCTCAACATTGTTTCTACCTCGACACCATTCATATACATAACAGAATCCCATCAGTAACATCTCTCATTAGGCACACTGATTCTCAATGAGGCAGGAATGGGGGGATGGGATGATGTATGAGTTCTTTTGGTTTCAAATCACTGAGCTAAATAATATGTACATGCTAAGAAAGGATAAAATAGGCAGTGGATCACAATCCAAAGAATGCTAGGTTCTCCAAGGATAT